TCCAGCAGTTTTAAACATCTGCGTGCAAATTCGAACCGTCTACTATTTTTAAGTGAGTAGAGGGGATGGATCTGAGGTTAGGGGATGATTGTATAATACTCTTAATTGTGTTTTTGGCGAGCAACTAATTAGCAACAAAATATCCAGCAGTTTTAAACATCTGCGTGCAAATTCGAACCGTCTACTATTTTTAAGTGAGTAGAGGGGATGGATCTGAGGTTAGGGGATGATTGTAGAATACTCTTAACTGCGTTTTTGGCGAGCAACTAATTAGCAACTAAATATCCCGCGTCTAGTTTCCACCTTCGAGAATTTCCCGATATTGTCCTATTCTGAGGTGGTTGCAGGGATGATCTGGAGTTAAGGGTTGATAATTAAATTTTTTAAACAACGCTATTTTGCAGCAACTAATTAGCAACAAAATATCCAGCAGTTTTAAACATTTGCGTGTGAATACGAACCATCTACTATTTTTAGTGAGTAGAGGGGGTGGATCTGAGGTTAGGGGATGATTGTAGAATATTCTTAACTGCGTTTTTGGCGAGCAACTAATTAGCAACTAAATATCCCGCGTCTTTTTTCCACCTACGAGAATTTCCCGATATCGTTCTATTCTGGGGTGGTTGCAGTGCTGATCTGGAGCTAAGGGTTGATAGTTAAATACTATAAGCAACGCTTTTTTGCAGCAACTAATTAGCAACAAAATATCCAGCAGTTTTAAACATCTGCGTGCGAATTTGAACCGTCTACTATTTTTAAGTGAGTAGAGGGGATGGATCTGAGGTTAGGGAATGATTGTAGAATACTCTTAACTGCGTTTTTGTCGAGCAACTAATTAGCAACTAAATATGCCGCGTCTATTTTCCACCTACGAGAATTTTCCGATATCGTCCTATTCTGGGGTGGTTGCAGGGATGACCTGGAGTTAAGGGTTGATAATCAAATATTATAAGCAACGCTATTTTTCGGCAACTAATTAACAACAAAACATCCAGCAGTCTTAAACATCTGCGTGCGAATTTTAACCATCTACTGTTTCTAAGTGAGTAGAGGGGTTGCATCTGAGGTTAGGGGATGTTTGTAGAATACTATTAATTGCGTTTTTGGCGAGCAACTAATTAGCAACAGAACATCCAGCAGTTTTAAACATCTGCGTGCGAATTCCAACCATCTACTGTTTCTAAGTGAGTAGAGGGGTTGGATCTAAGGTTAGGGGATGATTGTAGAATACCCTTAACTGCGTTTTTGGCGAGCAACTAATTAGTAACAAAATATCCAGCAGTTTTAAACATCTGCGTGCAAATTCGAACCGTCTACTATTTTTATGCGAGTAGAGGGGTTGCATCTGAGGTTAGGGGATGTTTGTATAATACTTTTAACTGCGTTTTTGGCGAGCAACTAATTAGCAACTAAATATGCCGCGTCTATTTTCCACCTACGAGAATTTTCCGGTATCGTCCTATTCTGGGGTGGTTGCAGGGATGATCTGGAGTTAAGGGTTGATAATCAAATATTATAAACAACGCTTTTTTGCAGCAACTAATTAGCAACAAAATATCCAGCAGTTTTAAACATCTGCGTGCAAATTTGAACCGTCTACTATTTTTAAGTGAGTAGAGGGGATGGATCTGAGGTTAGGGGATGATTGTAGAATACTCTTATCTGCGTTGTTGGCGAGCAACTAATTAGCAACAAAACATCCAGCAGTTTTAAACATCTGCTTGCGAATTCCAACCATCTACTGTTTCTAAGTGAGTAGAGGGGTTGCATCTGAGGTTAGGGGATGTTTGTATAATACTTTTAACTGCGTTTTTGGCGAGCAACTAATTAGCAACTAAATATGCCGCGTCTATTTTCCACCTACGAGAATTTTCCGGTATCGTCCTATTCTGGGGTGGTTGCAGGGATGATCTGGAGTTAAGGGTTGATAATCAAATATTATAAGCAACGCTTTTTTGCAGCAACTTATTACAAACAAAATATCCAGCAGTTTTAAACATCTGCATTTGAATTCGAACCATCTACTATTTTTAAGTGAGTAGAGGGGGTAGATCTGAGGTTAGGGGATGATTGTAGAATACTCTTAACTGCGTTTTTGGCGAGCAACTAATTAGCAACTAAATATGCCGCGTCTATTTTCCACCTACGAGAATTTTCCGATATCGTCCTATTCTGGGGTGGTTGCAGGGATGATCTGGAGTTAAGGGTTGATAATCAAATATTATAAGCAACGCTATTTTTCGGCAACTAATTAACAACAAAACATGCAGCAGTCTTAAACATCTGCGTGCGAATTTTAACCATCTACTGTTTCTAAGTGAGTAGAGGGGTTGCATCTGAGGTTAGTGGATGTTTGTAGAATACTATTAACTGCGTACGAGAATTTTCCGGTATCGTCCTATTCTGGGGTGGTTGCAGGGATGATCTGGAGTTCAGGGTTGATAATCAAATATTATAAGCAACGCTTTTTTGCAGCAACTTATTACAAACAAAATATCCAGCAGTTTTAAACATCTGCGTGCAAATTCGAACCATCTACTATTTTTAAGTGAGTAGAGGGGGTGGATCTGAGGTTAGGGGATGATTGTAGGATACTCTTATCTGCGTTGTTGGCGAGCAACTAATTAGCAACAAAACATCCAGCAGTTTTAAACATCTGCTTGCGAATTCCAACCATCTACTGTTTCTAAGTGAGTAGAGGGGTTGCATCTGAGGTTAGGGGATGTTTGTATAATACTCTTATCTGCGTTTTTAACGAGCAACTAATTAGTAACTAAATATCCCGCGTCTATTTTCCACCTACGAGAATTTTCCGGTATCGTCCTATTCCGAGGTGGTTGCAGGGATGATCTGGAGTTAAGGGTTGATAATTAAAATTTTTAAACAACGCTATTTTGCAGCAACTAATTAGCAACGAAATACGCCATAGTTTATATTCTCTGATGAGCTCTTTTTAATTTTATCGTATTTCGGGGGTAGTGTGGGTGCTGGTGCGGCAATTAAGGGATGATGGGGGGATAATACAAATAATGCTGTCCTACAGCAACTAATTAGCAACTAAATATGCCGTTTGCAGAACTTCGATATCTTTACGAGAACCGAAGATACAGTATTGTGGTCTGCTAGGTTAAGACTTAATCTAGCAGATCGCATGTATCTTTTACAGGTGTTGAGCAACTAAATCGGGAATAGTGTAACTAATTAGCAACTAAATATGCCGTTTGCAGAACTTCGATATCTTTACGAGAACCGAAGATACAGTATCGTGGTCTGCTAGGTTAAGACTTAATCTAGCAGATCGCATGTATCTTTTACAGGTGTTGAGCAACTAAATCGGGAATAGTGTAACTAATTAGCAACTAATTAGCAACTAAATATGCCGTTTGCAGAACTTCGATATCTTTACGAGAACCGAAGATACAGTATTGTGGTCTGCTAGGTTAAGACTTAATCTAGCAGATCGCATGTATCTTTTACAGGTGTTGAGCAACTAAATCGGGAATAGTGTAACTAATTAGCAACTAATTAGGAACTAAATACCCAGTAGGTTAGATGTGCGCGTTGCGACCATGGTCTGCTAGCTTAATATACGTGTCTTGGCCCAATCTCCCTATTCCAGCCATAGGGAAGGCCTGTGCCCCAGCAGTGGGGACATTAATAGGCTGATGACGATAACGAAATTAGGCTTTCATAATTTTCAGTGGGACTAGTAAATTGACCTACAGTGCTATTCTGTAAGAACTCAGTTTTCACTTCGGATTCCGCGGTGTGACTTACGGCTCAATTACATTTGGTCGTAAGCACGTATTCGGGTGTACGAAACGAAATCTACCCTAATAATAATAATAATTCTTTATTACCAGAAGATTACACAACATGTACGATCCACAAAATAGTGCCCAAACTAGGTAATCCTGTATCTCAGGGACTAGAGTATGAGATTAGCACATATTAAATTATTGTTATATGTGAATACGGGCGTACTCGACTCCGTTCATTAGTCATTTACCCGAATTTCATTGGCAGTGGCACTCGTTTTCGGGCTAACGACCAAGTGAAATCGCACCTTTTTTTTAACACACACCAATTAGCCTAGCCCAAAAGTAAGCACTGTAAGACTTGTGTTATGGGATGCTAGGGTAACGTATAGAATACATATGTAAGTATATTCATATAGAAATATATATTAAACATCCATGACTGGAGTAATAATGCTCGTATTCATCATACAAACATCTGCCCCCACCGGGATTCGAACCCGGGACCTCTCGAGTCGGCGACACCATGTAACCGGGGTACAAAGCACTCGGCCACGGAGGTCGTCAGGTCACCATTCACCATTAAAATAAGAATACGAATTAAATATTTGATAAATTTCAAAAAACACCAGCGAATTCCGCGGTGAAAAGTGATTTTGTTTTTACAGAATAGCACTGCTGTTGTTCCTATTATTAGTTCAAAGTTCTGGATACTATTCTTCAAATGTTGTAACAGGTTATCTTTACTTTTATACATGATGCGATATGTTGCGATGAAATTTCTTGTGATAGTAGACTTTTAAGCTATTACTATTAATGGATGCCACTGCAGTTGTTAAAAATCCTCATCATCACCAGCCTATTAAAGTCCTTACTGTTGGGTCACAGGCCTTCCCTATGGACGGAGTAGGGGATTGGGCCATGACCCACCACGCGAGCCCAGCGCGGATTGGTGGTTGCTAACGACTGCAGATGCAGCCGGGACCAAACGGCTCACCGTGGCTTCCAAACCACACAGCAGCAGTCACTAACCAATTCTATTACTAAAACTAAAAGCTGAGTAAGTCGTACTTACTCAGTCCGGTGTTAGTTTTAGAAATGGAATTGTCACTTTCTGAGTTTTCCTGAAATAATAGTTTTATATCATACCATATAACCAATAGGAAATCTCACGTCATACCAAAGGATATATTGTATAAGCTCTTAGAAGTTTTCTTAAACACATTTTTTTTTTCTTTTCAGGTTTAAAATGGCGTCTCTAAATCAAATGACCTGTATTCTACTAATTCTTCTCTCCTTGGTATACAAATGTAAGTTTCAATGTGTCGGGTTCCTTGGGTTAAAATAAATCTGAGGAAAAAAGGTGTCATTGTAGAGATAGATAGGACATTCCAGGCGAAACCGAAGGCGACTCATAGCTATATCCCGTATTATTCCTCGAGGGTGAGGAGCAGACGCAGATCGAGGAGTTGCTTTACCTGGTAGGTACGGGAGCAGGTCGGCTGGCTCCATGCCCTCACGAGGACCTCCATCATCCCCCAGGACTATCCTGTCACAGTGCCTCGAATCAAGTAGATTTTTTAAATGTAATAGTGTGGCAAACAAGTGTATGGCCCGCCTGATGTAAGCGCCTACCATAGCCTATAGATGTTTACAATAGGTGCTTAGAGTACTTATTAAGGAGGTCATTCGCGCCGTTGTCTACCCCGACCCTTTTTTTTACGCAGGCCAAACCTCTATTTACAGACGTTGGGGCCCTTAAGGGGCACACCAACGAACGGACCTCACACCTAGCCTGTCGCAAGTTTCACGGGTGCGAAACGGAGAAGCCGTTAGACAGTCCGTGCGGCTTACGAGCGCTTTCAGCATACTATCCGTTAAAGTATAAGTACGTAACCGCGAGAACCCCGTTTTGGGACTTCACCGCGTCTAATCTACCCTGACTCGATCCCCTACCCCGTTGACCACTGGAACTTACTTATTGATAGAAACAACAGCCCGTTAAAAGTTTATTTCACTTTTAAAATTTACGTATTGTGCGATAATTATTCTTTAGTCGATTGTATGATGATCACCTACCATATCTGTGCCATGTGGAGCCTAATGTTCTTGTTATATTAGTATCATATATCTATATTTCTTTTTTATCTTATTAAACGCATTGAAATGTTTTATTGATTAATTCAGATCTATTTTAAACAGCACTCTATTATCAAGACACCGAATTTTTTTCACATTTCCTCCAGTAGTTACCTATTTAAGTTTCAAATATTTTTGTTTCGTGCTTCCAGCAAGCTGTATTCAATGCTTCTATTGCAACAGTGCCAATAACAGCGCGTGCTTGGACTTGAGCAGCTTCGAGGACGAGGAGAAGTTCCGCATCATTCCGATTGTCAACTGTGAGACAGCTATACCCAGTCCGGTCGCACTCAACTTCTTCTGCCGCAAGATTGTGCAGACCAGTCAGTATATTTTAAAAGCTGCTTTTAATTCCATCTGCTGCTTTTCGCTAAAGTACATCGCGACGAACTTCATTTTAATATTAAGAGCTCCTCTGTGCTTAGGAAGGCACGGTGAGCTATCGGTACTGGCTGCATCTGCAGTCGTTAGCTAGCACCCACCGATCCACAATGGCCGCGTGGAGGGTCATTGACCAATCTTCATATTCTTTTCATAGGAAAGGTCTAAGCGAAATTCACCTCGATCTCGCTCTTGTATGATCACTATAAGCCAACCGGTACTCTCTTAGATTACAAAAGATGAAGTAACACAATTTTATCCTGCTATATCAGCTATCTTTGCGAAATGTGGTGATTTGCTATGCCTTGTATAAATAAACGCAATACCTATCTTGATTTTTACTTTCTTACAATTTATTCATTTAAAAGTGCATGTTATCTGAAGAGATAGATGATAGCAGAAGATAGTATAATATTGTTCGTTTGAAACAACAGTTTTATCCTTATTATATTATCATTGCCTCTCCCAATAGACATTTTAATATTGCAAAACTGACTCTAAGACAAGGAAAATATTGCTTTAAAAATCTATAAAAGCTTCTCTCTAACACTTTTCTCTGGAAAAAGTGTCACTGCCTGCGGAATTTAATAAGGTGAATTCACTCACTATCCCATGGGATTGTGGAAAGACACAAACATCGTGATTTCCTTTTTTAGTTCCCATGGTATCCATGGTGTAAAAACACTGAAGATGCTGTTTAATTTAAACTCTGTAATATCGAACAAGTACTTTTGTGCGTTTCGTCGTTCGTGGTCGCAGATTACCTTTAATGGCATCTCGCCACTGGGAGAATCTCCTCTTCGTCTGGAGCCGCTAGACCATTCGAACCTGAGGGGGGAACCGGTTTATTGTACTTAATAAAGTGACTATACATATAGTTTTGCCGTGCCTTAAAAATTACAGCGTCATCTATTGAACATTCATGTAAACATTCCTTGATAGTATAGATAGATATTCTCGGTGCTCAAGTACAGACTGAGGCAATTCAGACAACTACAACGTCATCTGACCTTGATTTCATCATCATCATCATCATTATTAGCCTATTTAGTGGAACCTTGATTTGTGGAACTATAATTCTAGACAATGATAACAAACATATAATATTTATGGAAGGCTAAGAAGCATACAGTACAGTACGCTGGAGTTACTTACTTTTTAAAATGCTTAATTATTAATATAAAGATATGTTTCTTTTATAGTTTACCACCCTCGCAAGGATAGCGAGGTTCGCGTGACCCGCGGTTGCGGTTGGATCGAAAACGATCGACCGTGCTACCAGACCAGCAACCGAGACCATCACGAGATTGTGTGCGGTTGCAGCAACAACCTGTGCAACTCGTCAGACAATCCAGACCCCGCCGCGTCGTGCATTCTATTCATTATATTGGCTTTTTGTCTATATTTCTATAGAGAATAGGCATTAAAGATGATGTATTTTCATTCATGCTACCATAACCGCTACCTAGACCACTACGAAATCATATGCTGTTGCGGCAATAATCTGTGCAACTCGTCAAACAGTTCAGACCCCGCCGCGTCGTGCATTCTATTCATCATATTGGCTTGCTGCCTATATTCTATAGAGAAAAGACATTAAGGATGTAATTTCATTAATGCTACTATAACCGCTACGAAGTCCATCACGAAATTATATGCGGTTGCGGCAATAATCTGTACAACTCATCAAACAGTCAAGTCCCCACCGCGTCGTGCATTCTATTCATCATATTGGCTTGCTCTCTATATTTCTATAGAGAATAGGCATTAAATGTGTTCTTTTATTTATGCTACCATATCCGCTACGAAGTCCATCATGAAATCGTATGCGGTTGTGGCAATAACCTGTGCAACTCGTTAGACAGTCCAGACCCCGCCGCGTCGTGTATTCTATTTATCATATTGACTTTCTGTCTATATTTCTATAGAGAATAGGCATTAAAGATGTAATTTCATTAATGCTACCATAACCGCTACGAAGTCCATCACGAAATAATGTGCGGTTGCGACAAAAACATGTACAAATGTGTTTTTAACATGAACTTATAAAGAAAATTTGGATTTAATTTATGCCATATTTTGAAATACAAAAACTAATAATTGTCGTTGCAACCTCACTTAGTAAATGTGATCGCATGATTTTTGTCGTAGAAAGCTGATCGAACATTTGTCAACAACGTACGCGCCGCACGCGCCGAACTCGCCACATGTGCCACATTTCCTTAAAAACTTTACGAAATGCGGCGCGTACGGTGCTGGTGAAACATGACAAACTTGTTGTCAAACGTCTGATCAGCTTTATACGCCAAAAATCGATTCCAGAGCAGACTTTTATTTCGTCGGGCATATTTAACTGTTAAGTTGTTTTATTTGTTTTGTAACCACGGAATCTGAAGAGAAAGAGATCTAAAGATCTGTGTATTATCATTAAAATCCACCGGTGAAGCAGAAATAAATGTTATAAAGAGACTAAAACCCTTTTCAAATTCAGGCTGAACACCGTAGCCCCTTTATTAATAAACCAAGACTACACTTGGATTAGTTACTCCATGTTTTGTATCTGACTATTGAATAACAAATGTCATTTGAGTGACAAGAACAAAACACTGTGTAACTAGTTGAAGCTTATTCCTTGTTTATTAATAAGTCAGTTTATTTATATGAAACTAGCGCTAGTTAGTTCGGTGATAAACCCAAACAATGTTCGTTACTTTTCTATAGAGATAAATGTTAATCTCCGGGTTCAGAATTATGTGTCCCACATTACAAAGTCCAGAGACAACATTGGGTAGGTCCCAACAGGTGAAAGCCCTCGCAGTGCCACCAACACACGGACTGCTATTTGTTCATTACTTATTTAGACAAAGATTGGGTATGGTCCCACTGCGGGCGGCCGAAACTACAGCTTAAACGAATTAAGAATTAAAATATTCGCTCTCGCGGTATTTGAATGAATAATGATGGTTGCACAGATCCTTTTTGAGTTTAATTGAAAAAAGAAACCCTGGTTACGGGTGTTTGTTTTAGTGGATTACGTAAGCATAGATTATCTGTAAGCTTGAATACTTAATTTATTGTTAGGAGTTTTAGAGTAAATTTAATCCTTTTAAGAGATAGCTACTAATGTAAACTATGTAATTATTAAATCATTAAAAAAAAATGATGTTTTCGGGCACTATGGTTTATATTCTTGAAATTAATTAATAATGTGGCTAATAGAAAAATTAAAAATATGGCACTATAATTTCTAAACAACTATTAATTTGTACCGTAATCCTTAATATGAATTCTTAAGGTCGGGCAAAAACAGAGGTTGAAGCAGGATGCCGCTCTACTGAAGGAATGTGATGTCTCGCTCTAATAATTAAATTTCCCTGTCGTTAAAGTACCTCCAATACTGCCACCCTTACTAACGAGCATTTGCTTGTAATGTAAAATTTTAGTTTCGATTATAGGTTGAGCACTGTAATGTCCGGTTTTCCTCCCTCACTGATGTAATGCTTAGTAATGTTACGGTACAGACAAATGCTCCCAGTGAGAAATGATCTTAAGAATTCATAATTCGGGCTCTGATTAATGCTTAAAATCGAGGAGCACAATGTCGCAGGTGGATAGTGCGTTTGTCGGGCGATAGTGGAAGTTAAGTAACTTTCGCATTGGTCAAACTAGCTGTGTTCCGCGGTGTTACCCGCGGTTTATTAGGGATATTTTCTCGCAATAAAACGTAACCTATGTGTTAATCCAGGGTGTCAGCTAACTCCATACCAAATTTTATTAAAATCGCTCCACCCGTTTAGACGTGAAAAGTAACAAATATACACACTCACACACTCATTAACTGTCGTGTATACATCCGCTAGTATTAAGACCCTGAACTACAATACTGCACAAATTCCTCATATTGAATAATGTACAGAGATACGATTAATAAATAATATTAATAACAGATATTTCTAACAATAGCCTAGCCCCAAAGTAAGCACTGTAGGCTTGTGTTATGGGACACTAAGGTAACGGATAGAATACATATATAAATATAGAAATACATATAAAACATCCATGAATGGAGTACAAATTCTCGTATTCATCACACAAACATCTGCCCCCATCGGGATTCGGGACCTCTCGGGTAGGTGACACCTTGAAACACTCGTCATTTAACGGATGCATCGTTTGATTATTGATTTTTCGTATCGTTATTATGCTTTTTTAGATCTACTTTAAGGGGAACCTACTCTATACCCTCGTCACTGATGTAACAAATTGTTTTCTTTTGCTTCAGCGGAAATCTCTAACACCTGTCCTGTGCAACAAAAACAAATTGTGGAATTTTAATAGCGGACACGAGATGAGAGTCCTTTGAGAAATAGGTATTTGAAAAAACTACTGGTGTTGCGCATTGGCAAATACCGTACGATAGGGATAACAGTAGCTAACGCTGAATATAGGGTATTTGACAGTATTAAAAATAAAGTGCCAATTAGGGATGCAAATATCGATAATTATATCGAAGTCAGGAAAATATCGATATCCGATATATCGACGATTTTAACTCGATATTATCGATATTTTTTTGCTTTTTTGCTTTGTATTAAGTTTGCAAAGCAAAAACCTAAAATTAAGGAAGCAAAGGTTTCCAAAATATCGATATTTATATTGTGGGCAGGTAAATATCGATATCCGATCCGATATATCAGCCATTCCAACATTTCCAAAACGATGTTTATAGATATTTTCTATATTTTTATAGCGCTGTAAGAAGTATCAAATCAAAAGCAATTTCGAATCAAAGATATTTATTTTGTTTAAAATGTTAAAACATCAGGGGTGTGCCCATGGTTTCAGAAAGGGTAAGCCCAAAGCTTTGAAAATTACTATACCTATCTTATTTTCTTGACTTGGCGAGCTTAAAAACATAACGATTTGTATAAGATTCTTAATTTTATTTTGTGTTATATTACAATGATATTAAATTTCAATTAATCAGTAGTTGACAATTATCTAGAAAGAGAGGCAAGGATTTTATTTAAGTACATTAGGTATACGATTATACCTATGTGCGTTGGTGTCGATTGTGGCAAGATTATCTAAACTTAAAACTAAATTTAACATCAGTCTCTCCTTTTCATTCTGTATAGAGAATGACAAGGATACACTGTTGTCAAATATAATTTTAGGTTTACAGAATCATGCCAGAATCCACACCAGTTTAGTATATTTCTTGGGGTTCAAGGTTTTTTTAATACATCTATAAGCTCTTGCGATTTCAAAGCAATAGTTATGTCGATATTATTCAATTTAGATAGTCATAGCAGGTAAATTAATTGATATTATTGTGTTCAAATTTAGTCTACGTAATATCGATATTTTTGAATTTCCGATATCGATATTATCGATATCAGTGAATTTTAAATATCGATATATAGATATCGATATTTTGGTCTCGATATTATCGATATATCGTTGCAACCCTAGTGCCAATTGTTAGTTAGTATCTGTGTTTGGAATGAATATAGGCAGGGGTTTTTACTATTTTTACTAAAAAAAATCCTAATTTTACTAAAACCCCACGAAAAAGATAATAGTTTTCTTATCTATTGTCACGTGACCCAAAAATGACGTCACACGCAAATAAACTTCCTTTTAAAGTGACATTACATTGAATCGTTTGACGTTTTAATAACAGTGTGACGTCACACGAAACGGACAATATGGCGTCTTACTAGACGCCATATTGTCCAGAAAAACGTTTTCGCGGCAACTTGAAAATGGAGTTTTTGATTTGGTTATTTTTACTGAAATACACAACAGAATGATGAATATCCACTTTTTACGGACTCCATAAACATTAGTTAATAACGTGAGATCGTATTCTAAAACTTGTCAAATATCCTATTGCGTATATAAAAAAAGAAAATTCGAGGTTTGGATCTCCACGATTTCCTCCTCGAAAACGATATATTAAGAAATTTTACCCATAGAATAATCAATAGTTATACTAGTTTTCAATGTTTTGATTTTTTTTTGAAATGTATGTTCACACTAAACATCTTTAGTGGTGATAAAAATTTGTTTATTTTTGGCATTTTTGAGGGCTTCCAGTTTATTTGAAACACAAGTTATCGAAAAAAGGAATAAATAGGAGCACAGAATGAGTAAAATTATATTTCATTTATGTATAATAAGCATTGCTTCACTACTTAGTATAAAGCAAAGTCGCTTCCCGCTGTCTGTCCCTATGTCCATATGTATGCTTAGATCTTTAAAACTTCGCAACGGATTTTTATGCGGTTTTTTTAAATAGATAGAGTGATTCAAGAGGAAGGTTTATATGTATAAAACATGCATAATATAGTAGAGATACACTGATAATTTTAGAGGTTTTTAATGTAAGGTCGTAAATAAACACATTTTTTGCGCTTACATTGCAAACGCTGGCTGAACCCTACGACATCGATCAAAATAATGTAGTACAGTATTGTACACCTTAAAAAGTCTACAAAAAAGTCCGCGATGGAATACGTCTATCTCTAAGGGATAACCCCTTAATAACCATTTTTTATCCTATACTTTTTACGAGAAATAATAAATTATTTACGAAGAGATTTTCAGCAATATAACATTCATCCTTAACCAATTAGTACCTTAAAAACATCAATTTGGCCCTTTAAAGCATGTAGTTTAAATGAATATTTTCGAAGATATTACAGATTTTAAAATGCAGGGACATTGCGGTTCCGACGCCGACGGGGGGCCTGGCGGCGCGTGCCTATTGTGATTAGGTATAAGAAGAATGTCATTGTGTATAATACAAGCCTGAGAACAAAAACTATAGTCTACACTTCAGCTCTACACCGAAGCGAAGTGAGGGCGGGCCACTAGTTAGTTATAAAAATCAAGGAGGTATAAATCCAGAAGGTTTGTATGGAAAAACGTTGCACGCCTCCCCTCTTAAGGGTATACAAAATGAATTCCTTTACGGAGTTTTATAACAAAGATGCTAATTAATGAACAAAATAAGGAACTGATTATTTTTATCTTTTTGAACTTTTATTTACCACAACGTTCGTGCATCTTTAGCGTGTCGCATTATAGTTATATTTTCGCGTGGAATTTTTTCTAGTATAATTTTCTTTAGCTTTAAATGTCGCATTACTTTTTTACTGTTATTCAAAAATTCAGACTTTATCAATCAAGCATCGGTGGTTCAGTGGTAGACAGCTCGCTTGCTACGATGGCGGCCCGGGTTCGAATAGATTAATGTTTTAGTTACTGATTGATTGACTGATTAGAAATGTATACCGATATATGTATAACTGTGTTCTTTTTTGTTATTGTCTCGCTTTATTCCGACATTCGCAGATCACCTTTGCCATAAGGCACTGGCTGAAAATCAGCGCTGCTGTGGTATCGCGAAAGCGTTTACCACAGAGCATAGCTGAGGCAGCGTCCTATTGGCCTTACACGGCACGAACCTAGTAGCTAGTTCCCATGTTTTTTTTATTTTTTTTATTATGTCTATGTTTTAAAAATAAATAATTAAAATAAAAAAGCCTTTAATTGATCTTGCTACATTGCTTCTTAATTTACTATTTTTTATAACTATATGTTTAATTATTAGCAAGGTCCCAGGTTGGGTAAAGGCCTCCTCCAGCGATGTCCACTTCTCTCTATCCTGTGCTATTTGCCACCATTTTGGACCAGCGATTTTTTTAATTTCGTCCTCCCAGCGTGTTGCGGGCCTTCCTCTTTTTCTTTTTCCTTGGGGTCCCCTCCATATGGTGGTGCTGTAGGCTTAGATTAAAACAAAAAGGGTAGATACGGCACTAGTCTCACAAAAGTGATCCGCACCAATTGTGGTCCACGACCTTAAATCGCTTTAGCCACAACTTGACATGCAAACGACGTACATGTGAACGCCAAAAAGAGATATTGCTAATATTTTGTGTTTATATGATAAAACAATCCCTAAGTGTGTTTTTAAAAGTGCTGAAATTGCTCAAGAACTAAAAATAAAACCCACGGCATCACTTTTCATTCGAAGTACTAGAAAATATATTTTTTCATAAAAAATGTTGTTTGTTTTGAATCTTATTCGGCAGTGACGTCGAGTACTGGTCGCCTGATTGGTCGGTAATGCAGTGACGCGGATCTCGCCATCTCGTTTGCGCTGCCGTTTAAACTTAACGTGCTGTTTCGTTCGGGTCGGTAATGCAGTGACGCGGATCTCACCGTCCCGTTCGCGCTGCCGTGGGATCAGTTTTTGTTTGATGTAAGTATGAGCGTACCGTATCTACCCTTTTTGTTTTAATCTAAGGCTGTAGGTCCATCAAAAGATGGACCAAAGACCTCGCTATGTGACCGGCCCATTTCCACTTTAGCTTTTGTCTATGTTTTACTATAATATAAACATTTTGTTCTTCTACGAGTAAATTAATGCTGTGAAGGCCAATAAAATGTTTTTCTTTCGTTCTTCCTTTTTTTAATGATATTAAAAGTTTTACTTGCCTCGTGGTTCCATAGAAACACAGCATCTTTTTATTATCCTTAGCTTTGAGTAGATATCTGGTAAGTAGCGTCCCTCCACCAGGTGGTCGAGTCCAGATGCGATATTGCTGGTGCAGCAGTTTTACCAGTCACTGTAAGTTGAGCGATAGTTTCGCTATTGGCGCCCGAAGTTAAGATTTGCAAACAAGCACAAGGCCCGCCTGATAGTAAGGGCCACCATGGCCTATTGTAATATATGAAGATAGGGGAAGATTCCCTCAATCCAGCAATTTTTTTTCACATTAATGTTTTTAATAATTCATACAGTATCATTTTCTTTGAACGGCCCTCTTTTTACCCTTTATAATATTAAGCTTGTAAGAACTGGTTGGATTCGACGGTTTGCATGAGTTCCGTGGACGAAGGCGACGGCCTAGTCGGGTCTATTAAATCCAACCGCGAACGTTAGGAGCGTCCGAACACAACTTCCGAGGGAGATCTATCGGTGGTACTGTTTTTCGAGTTCCTATAGTCAAATAAAAATTTTGCAATTCTGCTATACATATTTTTTTTATTACATCCCATCCTCGACGCCCCGTGTAATATATGAAGATAGGTAAAAAACGTCAATCAAACTCGCTAGTCTGTTGCACACTGTTTAATCGCAGGAATACGCGCGGGGCGCAGCCCACACTATCGTATATTAATCTCTGATTACCCACTTATGTAAAATATACAACACCTATAGACATACGCTTGTGATACCAAAAATATCACTCACACCATTGCCTACCCTGACCCGATTCCCTACCCTTGGAGACTTATTATAATTACGTGTCAATCAATATATGATTTTCTTCATATTTATAAACTTTCCATGAAAACATACGATACTGATAGTGAGAATTATGTTGCATGGTTTAGGACCCGTTGTATTGAATGCACCATTGCTTTGCTGTTAACAACTTTGTCCCCCTTGCCATTGGTCCATGCCCTTATTATTAAACTTGTCTAGTGTTGCAGTGGTTTGTACACATCCACAACTTTTAATTGCACTAATGATAACTTTTTAATAGTATGAAACTTGGGAAAGGTTTTATGCAAACAGTAATTTCAAAAATTTAATTCTAGACCATTATCAGGTATCTGCCTGAGACAGTCTTGAATAAGAAGTGATTTATTTGGATAATACCTGGGTACGAATAATGTGGCCTGGTTTGTAACCGGCGTTACTTTTGCATATTCTAACACAAAGAAGTTGTGGTATATACCTTCTTAAGGTTCTATAAAATTTAGTACATCACTTTGCTCTATTAATAATAATAATAATAATATCTATTGTCAATGATTTCCGCAGCGTGCGCGATACAAGGTTGTTTTTTGGATTTTTTGTATATGTAAAAAACATAAATATCAAAACAAATCAATCTAGTATAGTGAGTAACGGAGCCTTCAATCGGAATCGGAATAAACAATCGAATCTCTCCACTTTATAATATTAGTATAGAATATTTATTCTGATTTATAAACCTATCAGTTAAATGCTGAAATGAAATCAGATGACATTTATGCATGATTTGAGAATTAATAAAGTTGTTTAATACTAATTGGATTCTTCATATAGATAATTGTTTATTAATATATTTCTCTTTTATAATTTTTATCCATAAGTCACTACTATATTATAACCCTAACAGGGTTCATGTTAGGTACTTTATGCATTTTGTAACATGTAACTATCTATGTAATCACATGAGTGAATTACTTTTAATAAATATATAATAATATAAAATAAATTTCAGAACCTTAAAACACCGTAAGAAATGGAAACCACCAATTTATCAATAATGGTTTTTATTTCAATAAACATTAAGCATTATAAACTAAATAATTTTATAATTAGACAAGTATTTACTCTAAAGCTTAATCTAAAATACTTATGATGACGAATGCCAGAATCATTTCGTAGATTTTAACATTTAAATAATTTTCTGTGATTTCTTAAAACAAGATTTTGTTTTTCTAACAGAAATTTGCCAACCAAAATAACCAACGCAACGCGATTTATATTTTTATTTGCATCCTAGACCATTTATTTAAATATTAAAACCACCCAGCCGTCGAAATAGTTCTGGTCAACAAAAAAATCTTCTTCATTGTTATAATGACTAGAATATAATATAGCCCATATCGATAAAAATATGTTTTGCCTACGGTAAGACTATAAAATGCTTCAAAATAATTTACAAACGCAAATTGACTTTTTTTATTTTGGGCGGGTGTGACCGGTCTTACATCGTAAATTTACTCTTTTCTCATATCTCGGTTAATTTTTAGACATTGTAGGTTTTGAGCGCTTCTTTGGCTTTTATTGAGTTTTATTAGTTTAGTTTCGTCTGCCTCTTTTTCCTGTCTTCGTGTGGTGTGGACTCCATTTGTTCAGGGTCGCTACGGCCTGTGTTGTCTCCCTGTATTGAGATTTCTGTAAAAAAGAGATATATGATAAATTATTGAAAGTGAAGTTATTCATTAAAACATATTTTACCTATGATTGTATTGCAAAAAAAACTACTAACTAAACTGATACGACAAGGAAATTATTTCACGAGCTGTGAAGTTGTTACAATCCTTACCTGCGAATGTAAAATAACTAGAGGTGCCTAGCGGTTTTACCCGCATTAATTTAAGAAAAGAGGTTAAAGTGGTTCACCCTTACAAGATATACATATGCTCTGCTGGACTTTTTTTTAACTTTTAAAGGGGAATAAATCAGTCATATATGATTTTTGTGTAACTTTAAGCGCACGCAACGGAAGCTCTCAAATGGAATAGTTCTTCCCGTTTTTACAAATTTTTTTTGGTATTTCGTGCACTCCAAGTGCATTTTGCTGAAATGGGTAGGTATCCAATGTCTACAATACAATTTTACCTAACGTTTACCTTCAATAATCATGTAAATAAAAGCTTGTTTTTTGATGTTTGTAAGGTATAAACTGATTAGGGTTACAAGTATCGCAATCTATAACCCACCAACTTCATCAGTCTTCAACGACCTACCGAGCCTGGGGCCGAACCACATGCCGGGCCCGTCGGTGTAACTGGTCCCGGAGCAGCACCGTGTCACTGCGACTGACTCGGGAGAACGAAAAGAAAACAAGTGTAGTTACACCCACCATCTTCATCAGTGTTGAATGACCTGCCGAGCCTGGGGCCGAACCACATGCCGGGCCCATTGTGGTCACTGGTCCCGTAGCAGCGCTGCGTCACTGCTACCAACGTGGGGGACCAAATATAACACAAGTCTGTAGTAACACACACCATCCTCATCAGTCTTGAATGACTTGCCGAACCTGGAGCCCTATCACATGCCGGGCCCGTCGGTGTAATTGGTCCCGGAGCAGCACCATGTCACTGCGACTGACTCGGGAGAACAAATACAAAACAAGTGTGTAGTTTCAGCCACCATTCTCATCAGCCTTGAATGACCTGCCGAGCCTGGGGCCGAACCACATGCCGGGCCCATTGTGGTCACTAATCTCGTAGCAGCGCTGCGTCACTGCTACCAACGTGGGGGAACAAGTTTGTCATAAGTCTGTAGTAACACACACCATCCTCATCAGACTTGAATGACCTGCCGAGCCTGGGGCCCTACCACATGCCGGGCCCGTTGGTGTAACTGGTCCCGAAGCAGGACCGTGTCACTGCGACTGACTCGGGAGAACGAATACAAAACAAGTGTGTAGTTTCACCCACCATCCTCATCAGTCTTGAATGACCTGCCGAGCCTGGGGCCGAACCACATGCCGGGCCCATCAGCCCGCTGCGCTTCCTCCGCGCCCCCTGCCGCCGCGCCCGGGAACTGATCCCGGAGCAGTGTCGCGTCGCTGCGGCCGACGCGCGGGAACGCGTACAACTGACGTTTGGCTGTCATCGGTTCGTACTCTGTACCAAGAAACGATTTGGAAATGGAATGAGATTCGTTCACTGTAATGGCCTGCGCAGGCGAAGGACTTTCGTCCGCGGAGAAAACAAGTCCCTGAATCATGAAGGAAATATCCGCCGAGGAACTGTCACGAACTCAACGCATAATATGTGTTAACCTTCAGCCCCCTAGAAAAGCGAACGCTATGGAAGTAAATATTCTCAGATTATGTTCTCTTGTAATTAACATGAATTTTAAGAAAAACAGATGTTTTAAAAGGGAATAGTGGGTCCATCTTTTTAAATTGAATCAAGCATGCCGCGTGGACTGAAGATCGCCGTGTTCCTTGATGCGCCTTGTCACATGAGTTCTATGATTTTCGGGGACACCCGTGTACTTTTATCCTGTCCGGTCTCTCAGTGTCATCGGTTGGTTGTTCGGGGGACTTTTTGTAGGCGGGATTTTTAATACCTTGTGTGCCTTACTCGATGCATTTGAAAGCGATCTATTTTGGCGGACAAAAAAAAATGCGAAAAACGTCCCTCATCTGCGCAGGTTCCGGAACTGTTCTGTATTGCTCCCGAAGCGTGCTGCATAGCTCCTGGAGCGCTAGGAGCAGTACAGTATCGGCTATTTTGCTATGTTTTTTTTAAATTGGCTACTTTTTGTCACGAAAAACTATTGAATGATAGTTTGTTTTAGCAAATTATTCTATCTTCGCAGACGAAATCGCGGGTAACAGCTAATGAGTATGTATAGATCTCATAGAGCATTGTCCGAAGATACCAATTTTGGGCATTTATTTTCATTGGGTCTAATCTTGTTAAAAACAATAACAACGTCCGTTCCTATCTCTGTATTACGACTCGCGTATTATGTGATTTCTTTCGCTCTCATTTCAGCTGAAAAGGGCACAGACTGGGCCGTGACCCACCACGCGGCCCCAGTGCGGTGGTTTGGTGGTTGCTAACGACTGCAGATGCAGCCGGGAACAACGGCTTAACGTGCTTTCCGAAACACGGAGGAACTAGAGATAATAAGTTTTCTGTCACCCATCTAATGACCGACCACTGCGAAACTTGCCCAACTTTCACGATCGCAGGCCATCGAGCTCCTCGTTTTTTTGGTTAAGAAATTTTAAATGAGTGCCCATAATAATTTTTTGATTGGGTTATTTTTATAATTACCTAAATAAAAGTCACTGAGCGGCACCTGCCAGGTGTGTTTGGATGCTCTGCCGACTCTTGGAAATGGATACAGGTTCAATACACCATCTCGTCTCAACTTTGCGCTGCTATCTGTGGAATAGAAGAATATTATATTTAGCTATGAAGAGAATACGTAGTGTAGGACGTCCTCAGGCAGGTGGAGTGATGATTTGCGCAATGTGGCTGGCAGGAGCTGGATGCGAGTAGCCCAAGATCGATCTCATCGATCGATCGATAGATGGCGTGCAATTGAAGAGGCCTATGTCTAGCAGTAGACTAAGTTAGGCTGCTTATGATGATGGTGATGAAGAAGATCAATATTTACTATAACTTAAACCTTAGACGTAAGACGATGATTATGAAAACTCTTTAGATATAAAAATATATGTAGCATTTTAAAGGGGCTTGTTGACGACCGGTTTTCCACCGGTTTCTACCCGGGCCGCTGCCGGTTAAGCTTGTTCATGAGCACGGTTTGTACGTTTGTACCGATTCCAAACCGACGCCAGTGCCGGGTTGTTAACAAACTTCCATTGTGTCCCACACAGAACATAGAAAGAGGTTAGCCTTGTGGGCGGGGCAGGCGCGCCACAGTAATATGTGAGCAAATGCTTATAACTTGACCAAAATTTGGTTCTGATTGCAACGTTGCAAACGGTATATAATCACCCTTCTAACCTCTTTCTGTGTTCTGTGGTGTCTCATATATATTTTTTTTATTTTTATTTATTTTATAGATAGGTCCGACGTATGACTCCACCCCACCTGATGTTAAGTGAAGGTGAAGTCCAGACGCGAAGATAGCTGATACAGTAGTTCTACCTGCCACACCAGCCATCCTCATCCTGCCGGCCTGCATGTTACTTCTTCACGCCTCTTTTAATGGATCCCAGGTTGTAAGAGGGAGGGAACACGTGAGCGGGCAGAGCATTCCATTTACGTATAGTGCGACAAAGAAATGATTCACCAAATCTTTGTACGCGTATTTAACTGACGACCAGTGGTAATCACTGTTTAAGATCATGCTTAGACCCGGATGAGAAATCGTCTTGTTAACAAGCGCCCTAATACTAATAAAAACTAGAAAATTTGTCTGTATTATTTAGATTTGCGCTAAATTTTCGATGCACACATGACGTCCCGCTGGAAGGTGCTCCAGAATTTGTGAAATTTGCGTGGCATAATTTATAGGTTGGGCTTGATCTCGTTTGTGTTAACGATTTTTTTATTACTTTTTAACTTTTTATTTAATCATAAGATCATAATATCAAGTATATTAAAGGCCAGAGTATATTTACGACGTACGCGGAAAAAATGAACAACCAATCTATTTGTGAAATTTACAAGTTATGTAAAAGGAAAATAAATTATAGTTACATTTTAAAAGTGAATAGTGAGTTGCCGTGAAATTTGTTTGTAGATTTTGAACTATTTGTTTTCTTTATAAAAACATCAAAGAACAAAGAATAAACGCAATATTGTAATATTGAGTGTATGATGGTGGTCAGAAAATGTTTACCAGTTTTGAAATTAGATTCTATGTCACACTTTTTTCACTAAAGTCTAAAATGCCATATCAAGTAACTTATTACCTTTCAAAAGTTATTATGCAATATGACGCATCGAGAATAACAAAAAGAATTATATATTACTTTTTGATATTAAAACGTGATTGAAACTCATTTCTTTATTTGTTGAAATGACATTTATAAAAAAATGATTCTTTGAACCAATGACTAAATAAATTGCTTTGAACATTGTTTGGACAAGAGCAAAATTTTACTATTTATTTATATATTATTAAATAATATTTTATTTCGTTTCGTTCGAGCTGAAATAATATTTCCTTTCGAAGATGGACAAGTATTAGTATCACGAGAACTCAATATATCGCGATTCACTGTGAGATTTTGGATCCGGCGTTACGGCGAAGAAGGGCACTTAACAAATCATACAAATAATTCAGGAAGACGACCAATTCTAACCGCCGCGCAAATATGATTCGTCGTTATGAAGAGAACGGTTTCACACCAACTAGTTGTTTTGCTGCTTTATATGATGCGAGTGCTCGGAGGATCCGACGAGCTTTGCACAGTGCTGGACAACACTACAGACAACATGCTATTAAAGTGGAGCTGAAACCTCACCACAAAACAGCCCGGCTTAACTTTGCGCGACATCATGATTTTGCTTGGTCGAATACTATATTTACCGATGAGAAAACCTTTAAATCAAGCCAAATCGGAAGATTAACTTTATGGCGCCATAATCGAACTCAGTATGATGAAGCTCATATCGTGTCTTAAAACGAGGTCGCATAACCGTAAACTTATGGGGGTGGATGAGCCTCGAAGGCGTCGGAGAACTGGCGTCGTTAGAGAATAGGGCTACTGCCATTAATTATGTGTCGCTTTTGGCAGAAGTGATGCTGCCTACTGTGCGCGTAGTGTATCCTGCAACAGAATGCCCGTGTGAGATTATATATTTGAATTACACCTACGATAGATACACAAGGAAATCCTAGTGTGAGGCGAAGTATTTAAAATATATATATATATATCAAACCTTGATAGTAGTCAGTCCATCGCCTAGAGCGATTGATTGTCACATCATTACAAAAAAGATAATCTATGGTCAATCAAATTATTATGAAATAGACATTTAGAACTTGTGACCTAAATGTGTGCATGCAATTATGTTCCTTAAGGTGGTAAAAATTTTCTGACCGCGAACGTACATGCAGCGTGTTTGAATGTCCAATTGTGACCTAGCGAATTGTGGTCATACACCACAATAGGCTAGTTGGCTCTTTTTGGAAAAAGGTTTTAAATGGTTAATAAATGTTCTATTACACCGAAAAAAATGTATTGTATTTTTTTGAGACCTAGGAAGCTACAAATCTTTTATTTTAAAATAGACTTTTCATGGACATAAAAAAACGCTGTCGGCCATTTTAGTCTATAGATTTATCCATGCTATGACGTCAACTGTAGTAAACAAAAACTCGTAAGCACGTAGAAAATAAGTTATCTGAGTTTATAATAAAAAAAAACATGATTTCTAATAAATACCACGAAAAATAAAGTAATTATCATTATTGTATTGTACGAGAATATAAAAACACATCCTTGAAGACTCCAGGAAAGATGTGGATTAAAGTGCCGAAAGAAATTAACCTACGCAACTTTATTACACTTATTCATATGTTGTATCAGTTTTATGTTTATTGTAATACTAAATGCACTGTACTTACATAGATGTCTTATCGTTTCTCTGCTCCGCAGAGCAGAAATCGGGGTTAAGTGCAAAAATTCACCAACCATCAATGCGTCAATTCTTGGCAGATTTGTGCTTTCTGCTTTCACAAAGCCGGCATCCATAATTAGTTTTGTCAAAAAAATAAGAGTAAACGGAAACTTTTCTAAAGTTAAAAGTGTTTTAAGATAAATTTAGTCAGACGAAAGAATCCACCCACAGTAACACGCGAATGACATTCATGGCGGCTGTGATGAACAGCGTTTTTAGTGTTTAAAAAATATAGACTAAAAAATATTTTTTTTAAATATTTTTTTACAGCAATCTTCTGCTTTTATGAAGTGAAATCGATATATTTAGGTTCCTTAGACCAAATACTTTAAGAAATAAACATTTATTTGATACAATTCGACATGAGTCAACTAGCCTATTTAAGCGTTTTACTTTTGAACCTCGAGTGCAGTATCTTCCCTTTTTTGTTTTAATCCAAGATTATTTTCCTTCGATAATTTCAAAATTTTCGATAATCTAACATATATATTAATTATATTCTGTTCAGTGATTTTGTTGCGGGTTCGCATTAAAATTAATTAATCCTTGACGATCAATCTGCTTATTGAACCACGAGGTTTAAAAAAAATATGATCCGCGTTTGGGACTTTAATCTAAGACTTTAATAATCTAATCAGTTTAGGAATAGTATCAGGAAAAAGCTAGTTTATATAGGCACTGATTTAAAGAGGCATTTGTAAATAGCAGTTTTGTTAAGTTAAAAATAATAAATGGCACGTTTAATAACTAGTTCAGCAGTTAAAACTAAGCAGTAAAACAAACAAAAATGAGTAATAAAAAATAATGAAATAGATCAGTGAATATATAATTGAGTTGGAAAATAATTAAATGGGCGGTAAAAATTATTGGACGAGCGGTTACGTGTGGACAGTAATAAATCGGAATTTGAAGAAATCTAATTCTAAGCAATTCTACAAAAATGAGGTGGTAAAATAAAATAAAAAAACAGTACTTAAATAATAATGAAAAATTTAATTACTTTTGTTTTGACTGAATGAATTAAATAAAACAAATTGTATAATAATAATAGGAACTTTTATTCGTAATTCAAAACATATTTAAGTAAAGAAAATGACATAGAATTTGCTTAGTAGCAGCTAAAATAAACTTATTGTACTATGTGATTGTTCGCTTCCGCCACCCGCGCTAATAAGCTCCGCTCAACTAACGAACATTTACCTCTCTTTTCAATGAATTTGAGTTCCGGTGTCACCGCTTGCTATGATCTGCCGAACTTTTTATCTCACAGCTCATTCCATCATTATTACCGCTAATTCAGGTATTGGACTGCTCAATTATTTTTAGAATTGACATTGTATGATAAAATAACCGACTTATTGATTTTTTATTACTGTCGCAATAATTAATCAACCGCCATTAAATTAAATAAGTGCGTAATATGTTTTTCAACTGATCATAATAACATCTCGAATATTTAAATAACAGCTCAATAAACTAGTTCCCGACATAGTTAGCCTAAGAACCAACAATCATGAAATATTATTTTCTAGGTTCGAAATCACAAGTAAATGACTGTAAAAACAAAGATTATTGACGGACACTTCTGAGAACTTTAATTATTAGGAAAACTAAAAATTTTTTGAGGTTATGTTTAATATTCAAAGAAACATATAAGTGAATTAATATTACAACTAATTCATTTTATTCGGTGCGATTTTAAAGAATAACTATTAGGAAAAACTTGGTTAGGTAGGAATCATAAAAACAATAGTTCTGCTTCTTATTATTTATTGACTATTTTTCACATAATTGTATCATATTGTATTTATTTGTTTAACACATGTATATTGTGTAAATATGCAGCGTGAATGTATATCAGGTGCTCTTGAATAATTTGGCAGTATGCTCCTCTCAGGATGTTGTGGCACAGGTTCACTTGCACTTGGTAATAAGGTCTCTGCTCTTTGGTAATATCTAATATGTCATATTAGATAGGCGAAATAGTAATAGTTAAATTAAGGGAAAAACAATCGCAAATAAACACACACAACAGGTAATCTGAACGAGAATTTTCCGTATATAAAAAGTACTCTTTGACGAGAATGCACGAATGCCACTGATTACTACGAATGCAAACTGCCTGCACCGCAACCACAGAGTATCGAGTTTATGCCGGCCTTTCACTTGACAACAGTTTGTCCTTGTCATGCTTAATAAGGAATGAAAAGGACAGACTGATGTCATGTTTTTAAATAGCAAATACGAATAGCCAAGTGAAGTGCCGGCATTAGGAAGAAAGTGTTTTTTGTTTGCAGCGCTGTCATAGATTATACACATAAAATGGTATTTATTGTCTCAGATTATTGATTAACTTTTTAATTTAGCTTACTTAACTGGAAGTGTCCGTCACAATTTAAATACAGATAATTACCGCAAAAAATATACTAAGAATTATCATAAATGCCAAATTGGTGTTGGTTCTTAGGCCAATTTTAACATTGTCCTTTGATGCTGGTGTTGATTTTTAATTTAGACTAGCGGTTCGCAAGTTAGTACAAGTTAGGAGTTACTGGTTTCACCAAAGTTCATGTCAAATCTAATTTAATGTAATTAGAAGGTATTATTAAATAAAAAACATAAGATAATAATGCTTTTCGGCAGCAGTTGTCATGTTCAGACGTGTTTGATTGTAGAGATAAGATACTCGTATGTAGCAAAACTTGAGAAAAAGTAGCTAAGGAGATATTTGTTTCAACAAGTTAGAATTATATCAGCAGCTTTATCCTTGAAGTCAGATTTTTTTAAGTAAGTAAGTTAGCAATATTTATTTGCATAAAACATGGTACATTTTTTTTAAGTGTGTATGCTGTTGGTCGCAGATGACCTTTATAGCGTCACCGGGTTTGGGGACGGCGAGATCCTAAGGAGGCACTCGCCAATTCTCAAACCGAGAATTGGCGAGTGCCTCTAGAGGTATTCCAGGCGGATGGCATCTCCCCACGGGGGGAGTCTCCTCGCCGCCTGGACCCTCTAGACCACTCAAACCTGAGGGGGTCGGCTCAACTAGAGGGCGTCTCTGAGACTCGGACCTTGGCTCTAGAAAGTCGTTGTCGTGGGGGGCAACATGGTATATTTAAGTTTTTATCTGTATGTAATTGCAGTTTAATTTGTTGTGCCAATTATCACAAAGTGTAATAAAATTTTTTGTTAGTCGATGCAAAATTGAATTCTAAGTCGAATGACATAGATAACAACTCATTTTGACCCCGAGTGTCAGTTAGGAGGTATTTTAACATTGCCGTCGATATGTGAATGCGAGTAACGTAGGGAGTTAATAACTATCATACGAAGACATAATAATTATTACAATAGATATTGATCTATTGTGATAATTATTCACGGATGTACCAATTTCTTCGTATGATAGTTATTAACTTTATACAATTATATTCCTTATATATCCGAAAGTTGTTAATCGCCAACTTTACATTAATAACTATTTGATGAACAAAGTTGACACCTTGATAAGCCACACGTTAAATGCTTACATGAGTTTAAGACACTTGTACTGTACTCTAGGACCCTTAATTAAAAACCAATTTGTGACATTTCACGTTACTGGAAATCAATTATTTCGTAATTAAGTATAAGTAGTGCTTTGTCAATTAATAGTTTGAGGCTTCGGTTTATTAAGTTTAATTATAATAATCAAATTAGGCTTTGCTTTTTGGTTTCACATGATATAAATGTAAAGCGCGTCAAAGTAGGGAGATGTGGTTCGTGACGTCACTCACTTCTAAGTAAAAATTGTACCAAGGCGTGACGTCATGCGACTTTTCAAATCAATACATCTCTGCAATGTTTTGTTTATGTGAATAAAGAAAAAAAATGTGTATATTATGATATATATTTTTTATTTTTTAAGCATTTAACTGCTAGATGTTTGTATCGCGGCCCTGATGGCCGTGTCGAATTTTCTGTAGCCTTTCTTAGGCTGCGGAATATCCATCCCTTTGCATTGTATGTGGATGGCGCTGCCTTGCAGCCCAAGAAAGACTAAAGAAAATTCGACACGGCCATCAGGGCCGCGGTAGCATAACGCTCAGTGCATTAAGACTTTTCAAATGATATCTATATTGTAATAAATTAAAAGTTTATTTTTAAATTGACATAAATAATTGACATTTTGACATTACTGTTAATTAAAAGTTTAGGTACCCTATGTAAAAGTTTATGTACCCGAGATGGTGAAAGGAAGGAGAAGGGAAAGGAAACTAATAGGCGTGTAGAAGGTATGGTGTAATAAAGAATTGTATATACATACATACATGAAGCCGGAATACATTACACATATTTTTTGGGAAGTCAGACTTCCAAAGTAGTAAAATGTGTCCCCCCCCTCCCCTGTAACTTCTAATGATAAAACTAAAAAAATATATTTTATACATTACCATGCAAACTTCCACCGAAAATTGGTTTGAATGATCTAGTAAGTAGTTTTTTTTAAATAAAGTATATGTATTAATCAAACAGTATCCCACAAACAAAAGTAATCTATGGAGTCACATATTTGTATGTGTATGACAATGAAATCTTTAGAATTCTGGTAAAGACTTAGGCCATCCATTCAATTGTATGTGGAAATCGACTAGATTAATAATAATTATTTAGGACATTACAGAGGTTCAAGTTAAGTGATATTGTTAATCATGAGACATTACAAGTGAGATAACTAACTGATTTATGTTTATGCGAAGTAAATTACAGGAGATGTGCCTCGATATGCCACGAACCAACACGTGCCCAGTGTAGATTGGTAGGTGCTAACTCAAAATATATAGTATAGAAGGATACCTTATGTATGTACTTCACTTTTTATATATACGTTCGGCAATCGCGCGAGGCAGAGAATAAAAATTTATATAAATAAATAATAAATAAATAAATATTTCCAACACTCACACCAATTAAGCCTAGCTCCAAAGTGAGCACTGTAAGGCTTGTGTTATGGGATACTAGGGTAACGGATAGAATACATATACAGTACATATATAAGTATATTATTATATAATCTTTTATTTCGTTTAGAAATACATATTTAACATCCATGACTGGAGTACAAATGCTCGTATTCATCACACAAACATCTGCCTCCACTGGGATTCGAACCCGGGACCTCTCGAGTTGGCCACACCATGAAACCCGGCGTACAAACCAATCGACCACGGAGGTCGTATATTAAATAAAAGAAGAGACTAAGAGGAGCTCAATAGAGCAGGTGGTTAGCGCGTTTCTCGGCGATCGTTGATGTTAAGAAACTTTCGCGGTGGTCGGTCATTGAATGGGTGACCAAAAATCTTCTATCTCGAGTTCCTCCATGCTTGGGAAGGTACGTTAAGCCGTTGGTCCCGGCTGCATCTGCAGTCGTTAGCACCCGCCAATCCACACTGGGCCCGCGTTGTGGGTCATGGCCCAATCTCCCTATTCCATTCATAGGGAAGGCCTGTGCCCCAGCAGTGGGGACATTAATAGGCTGATGATGATGTTAAACTAAAATAAGTTTACAGAATAAAATCTATTCTGCTTACAGCGAACGATCTGGTGACTTCAAAACGAAAAAAGGCCCTATTTGTCTAGTTGAATATTAAAATATTGCTTAAAACAGACTTGAGAAAAGCTCCAACCAAGCTAAAATGGCGTCGCCGATTCCAATCTCTTAAAGCGCTTTTTGCGTAATTCGCCCGTATCTTAGCAGTTGGAATTATGAATAATACTAACAGTTTATCTTGGATGCATTTAAAATTCTTAAATTCAGGTTAACCTTTATGTAATTGTAATTTATCGTTTAAACTTTGTCATGTTGAGTAAATATTTAAGTTGTCTTCCAAAGTGGAGCTTTCTGATTAATCTCACGTTATTTTTCAGTGTTTCGTACCCAAAGGGAGACTACAGAATCACTTAGCCTTCACTGTTTTTTCGTCTTTCAGCGGTAGAGATATTCTGTGAGAAGAAACTCGCTTTTCACCGCGGAATTTGCCGATGTGATTCCAAAAATATATGAAATTCGTGTTCTCATTTTAAATTCCGCTATGAAATGTGAGTTTGTTGTTACAGAATACCGTGTTAAGGTACAATTCTGCAATGGGCTGCAGACGAAAACCGCAGGTGACACTGCGGCTAGCGCCTGCGGCTGACCGTGCATTATATGCATTGTGCAGCCGCGGCATGTCGCCGCGCTCGGAATCAATTTCATAGAGATTCATAGAAACTAGTAGGTAGTGTCGCCTGCAGTCTGCAGCTGCGGCCTGTGGTCTGCGGTTCAGTTCGGACTTGTACCTTTAGTTAGTTACAGTGAAAATATTCATATTCAAAGTTGATAATAAAATAAAACAAAGACAAACGTTATTTTTCTAGCAATTTTTCATTCAGGTTGATTTAAAAAATAATATTTTTATTTCCAAGTTCGAAAGTTCAAATTTCAGATATTCATTAAGGCTCTCCCTCATAGACGCGTTATTGTAGGTAGATATGCGTTATTGCGATATCTGATTTTAGTACATTATGTATTAGAACAGCCACGAACCTACGAAGTTAAACACTGCTGCGATAGCAACGGATCAATGATAAAAAAAAGTAGGACTCTTTCGTTTTTCCATTCTGCGACATTCCTATATAAATTCTTAAAACATTTTGTATTGGGACAAATTATGCGATCCCACACACACACAGCTGCGTTCGTTAGTACGTCAAGGCAAAAAATTACTTACGTTACGAGTGTTTTACTTACGATATGCGCTGGCGATGACTGAGGTCAGGAGAAATGTTGACACCACGATTCTGACTGGAGACTGCATTGTGTCTGTGAAAAAAAAAGATTATGAAATCTCTGGATGATAAGTTTATAGTTGAACAACACAGAATACTTTTTTAGTTCTTCTAGTAAACTTTTCTTTAGATTTGAACATCTAGCAGTTAAATGCTTAAAAAATAAAAACATAACACCTTATAAGTTGTTGAAAATGGGCTGTGTGAAAATAGTGACAATTAAAATTTTATTTTTAAAAACGCTGATGAAAATGTTAATTAAAATATTTCAGACCTGACTTCTTCATACAGCTTACAGTAATTTGGACGAAATGATAGACCCGAGTCTACCGTACCGATGGAACGACTGTCAAATGTTTGACAGAAAAGTAGATAGAACAGTTTATATGGGAAAAGGAAATTATTGTTTTTACTATCGTCCACGCAATTTTTAGAAATTTCCTCACTGTTTCAACGTTCCCTGAACTACGACAAACGTTTTAAAATCAAAACTAGCTTAATCGGCCCAGCCGTTCCCGAGTTGTAGCGAAAGAGATAACCACCATATACCTATGTAGATTAACATTTCTAGTTATAGTAGGTACCGAGATTATGTTCAAAAAGTTTGCTTATTTGTGATAACCTAATGTACTGTTTTGACTGTAGGTACGTTTTATAATGTATGTCTAATCATATCCAAAAAAATTAAACTAGAAAAAATTCACTCGGTCCAGGCTTTTGCCCTGGAGTCAGTCAGTTATTCAGTCAGTTATCCTAGGCCGATTTTGATTTTTATTAGAAATATTTCTTTAGTATTAGAATCCTGGCAGCTGACTTTTGTCCGCGGACGATTTTGACCACCAAAATAGATCGCTTACAACTGCATCGAGTAACGCACACAAGGTAAAGCTCCGCAAACAAAAAGTTCGCCGAACAGTCAAGACTACTGCGAGACCGAACAGGACAAAAATAAGCGGGAGTCCCAAAAACATTTAACTTATGTAACTAGAAGCAACAACTCACAAAACTGCGATGCGATGCGATGTCGCATCTCAGGAACTTACGATGCGAATTGCTGCGGTATGAATTTGTGCGGCAAAGCTTTGGTTATGGTGACCATACCTTTAACGGTAGTCAGCCGTATTGGTAATAGTGACATGGATCGCAAAAAGATTGTCACTACTTTCTAGCATTTGGTTTTTTTACCAATCATGTAAAGCGTTGAGAAGCAAATTATGACGCATTTATTGTTTAAAAAAACTACATTTACGGCTCATATTTTGTTATTTAAGAGTATCTTATGTGATTATGTGACAATTTACTACGAACATCTTTGTTTTATATGCATATCAGACCTTATGCTTGGGAAACGTGTGTGAAGATATAACAAAATTTTTATGTCCTGTCGCGTCACATTATGATAATATGGCAAATAAGAAAAATAAAATCAAACATTTAGTAAAAAGTCTCAATTTGTAACAAAATTGAAGCCATGCAGGCTACTTTCTTGCCTATCCAAAAGGTACTAGTGCTCTTGACTCTATATTCTTCGGAAACAAAAATCACATGTACCTTAATTTAATTGCTATCTTTGAAGTTATATAAGTTTTAGAATAAATGTTTATTTACCAGTAAAATATATCCGTCTGTTTCGCCTAAAATTATAATAAGAGTAATTTGATAACATTTTCATATGTAACTTTATTCTTTGCATAGGTCGAGATATACAAGAAAAAGAAGATTTTGAGTTCACCCATTTATTACGATTATGAACGCTGATGAGAATAATTTCACTCGAAATTTTGATTATATTAGAATAAGCATATCTTTATTTAAAAGGATTTTATTATCATCGTGTCTTCAAAAATGATCATACAAGGGAAGTCTCAGAGCGGACTAAAATAGTGTCACCTGGTATGACGTAATATCGCAGGAATGCGCGATGCGAATCAGTAGGGCGATTCTGTAAAATAAAATCTCGCTTCCGATCTCGGTAGTTGCCATTTTAGACATTAGTTTAATATGCATTACGCCATTACACGGTAAAATGTCGCTATGGCTGTTGAAGTAGCCAGTATTAATTATTTGAGATTTGTCAGAAATCCGAATAAATGAGATCGTAAGTGAGATTGCATCTTACAGAATATCTATGCAGATCGGTGTTCTTGCGGTGCATTCGTGCGAGATCGAAGATATTTGCGATGAGCAGGCCAATAATGAAAGTAAGAGAGATGAATCTAAAGCTGCATACCGATAGCAACTTGTGGAGAGTACATCATCAGCCTATTAATGTCCCCACTGCTGGGGCACAGGCCTTCCCTATGGATGTAATAGGGAGATTGAGCCATGACTCACCACACGGGCCCAGTGCGGATTGGCGGGTGCTAACGACTGCAGATGCAGCCGGGTTCAATGGCTGAACGTGCCTTCAGAAGCCCGGAGGAACTCGAGATAGAAGATTTTTGGTCACCCATCCAATAACCGACCACGGCGAAGACGCTTAACTTCAACGATCGCAGACGAACGCGCTAACCACCCGCCCCATGGAGCTCCTGTGGAGGGTACGCGTAGCTGCAATTATTTATATGGTGTTCCAGGGAAGTAGTCGACTACGCCTACTCTGGAACGCGCTAACCGTACGCAGCTGTTTTTTTTTAATTTGATCTAAGTGTCTCTATCTCTCTCTCTAAATCTCTATAAGAAAAAAAACCCTTGCATACAAGAAATTTACAAAGACTGAAGTTGACACAGACAAAGTTGCGGCCATAAGCCACATTTTGTTATAGATTTTCAAGATTTTAAATTTCACAAAACTGAAATTGGCACTTCGTAGTACTCCGTACGTACCTAAGTCAAGAACTAATAAGATTCGTATTGCAACAAAATACCCTCTATTCAGTTAGGGGACCGTCCCCACGCATGCTCGTACAAACTTCGTAACGAAATCACTAATACAGGAAATTGTCGTATCGAATATCGATGCCCTGAATAAGAAAACAAATTTCGTGGTACGTACGACCTTACCTGGTGCCCTCATCGGAAACCAGAGGCTCCGATCAGATAATAGGTAATGCAAACTTCTAGATAACATTGCGAACGTGATTCGAGTTTAAAGGTAACCAAGAAAACATTTCACATTATGACTCGCGCGGAGTTTATGAATAATTATCTCGTGTCGTGTCTTTGTATTGTTTCATCCGATGATTTTGCATTATTTTTATATTTAAACTAGTGGCCCGCCCTCGCTTCGCTTCGGGGTAGAATTGATCAAAATCCTTTCTTAGCGGATGCCTACGTCATAATATCTACCTGCATGCCAAATTTCAGCCCGATCCGTCCAGTGGTTTGGGCTGGGCGTTGATAATTCCATGTCCCCGTCAGGACCAGTGGTCCCGGTCCCAAATGACTACCGACTCGATCACTATGTCAGTCAGTCTTTTAGTTTTGTATATATAGATTCATTGCACAAATAAGAGCACAAGTGGCGGACTTAATGCCAAGATATTCCCTACCAGTCAACCGGAACCACTTTACAATAGAATTAATTGAATGATTTATTATTTTGCTTATATATTTTTGAAGTTATACTTCTTTAGGCGCGTTATGAAAAAATGATGAGAGTGAAATTTTAAGATGCGCGCGCATCACTGTAACACAAAATTTTAACAGCATGAAGTTGGTCGCTTTAGCGACGTTACTTTTGTGTTTACCGCACATTAAGAAAATCTACCAACAAAATAGAAATAGAATCTCTATTTAGTAGGTGCTAACGACTGCATTGTGAAGGCCTATCAAAAGTATTTATTAATCTGGAACAACGGAACCAAAGCGCGATTCAGGAGACTACAGCGCCATCTCTTGACCATTGGTGTAGTAGAACCAAAAACCACATCTTTATTTTTTGTAATAAAGTAACAGTTATAGGTATTCATATTTATAATATCAAAAGTATTTATTAATCTGGAACAACGGAACCAAAGTGCGATTCAGGAGACTACAGCGCCATCTCTTGACCATTGGTGTAGTAGAACCAAAAACCACATCTTTATTTTTTGTAATAAAGTTACAGTTATAGGTATTCATATTTATAATATTTATCCACATGTTTCTAGTTTGTATATTCGGAATACGTGTTTGAGTTTCATACAAGTGCAAATCACATATGTTCTAATAAATTATTTTCAGTAGCGATTTTAATTGAATATTTTTTCTTATTTATTTATTTTTTCAAATTAAAACTGAACTTTATTGACTTCGTCCTTTTCCAGACTTTTTATTAATTTACTGTAATTAATTATTTGCATGCAATTAAAAACTAATTTTAAACGATGCCAAAGAAGGATAACTTCTCACGCGCCTACATAAGTACACGCTCCCATTTTTTTTGTTAGGTTTCGCCCCATTAGCGAAAACTGTTGGTTTGTTTCCAAACATTTTTGGGTTCCGTATCTAAAGGGTAAAAACGGGACTCTATTACTAAGAGTCCACTGTCCGTCTGTCTGTCACCAGGCTGTATCTCAAGAACCGTGATAGCTAGGCAGGTAAAATTTTCACAGATTATGTATTTATATTGCCGCTGTAACAACAAATACAAATTATAACAAGAAAATAAAAAAAAAGTGGGGCACTCGTACAACAAAAGTGTACTTTTTTGCCGTTATTATTAACGGCAACAGGTAGGCGCTTGAAATATTCACAGTATGCTAACAAATAAATTATTAAAATAAAACAATTGAATTTCTCATACAACAAATGTGATTTTTCACACCGTTTTTTGCTCCACATTATATTTTTTGCGCAAGTCCGACTCGCACTTGGTCGTTGGACACAGTAGTAGTGGTAGTCATGACTTTTATGAAGTTTCTTAAAATTTGATTATTTGAAAGAATTGTGTATGCTATTTATTTATTCGAGTAAAAGAATGTTTACTACGGCGCAATGTATGGAGACACTTTTCAATGAGTTATTTAGAAATATAATTTCCTTCTTTTATGAACTGGGAGCGTTAGTAAAACAAATCAAGCATTACTTGAAACTTTATCATGAAAATTTACAAAAA